TGCAATATTGATAGATCAAGAAACTAAAATAAGCGGTATATTACATTTCCTATTGAGTTGGTTCCGTATCCACAAAACCATACTACTGTATATCGAGAACAGTTAAATGGACGCTTTTATAAATGAAATTAATTTGGTTTAATAGGAAGATCGAATGGTTGGATCGAACTTGTCAACGTATTTGTAATAATTGTTGAATTTGGGGTACGAACAATAAATGTCATATTTCATCGATCGTTGACGTAAGGTGTAGTGCTTTACCCTTTGCTTTGCAATAAAAACTTCTCGTAGGTTCTAGCCAGAGATTTATGCGACAGAAACACTAGGCTATAAATACTAATTTATGAATTTCTTATAAAAGGACGAAGAAACTCTTTACCTACTAATCAAGAGAATAAAACATTTGATATTAGTGGAACTAGCAAGGCTACTCTTCTCTACATAATAATTTCTCTAGCCACCTTGTGACTGCCTTCGGCAAAAGTTTTGTACGAGTTAAGGTATATGTTTCATTCGTTTTTAAGGGAGGTCTACCCTACATTCGTGTATATGCTAGTATTGGTGAATCTTAGATCGATACTATAATGGTTTCTGAAATCAAATCAATCAATGAACTATTCAATTTACAGATATTCCCCTCCTTCAATCATAGATTTCAGGAAATTAGAAGGCAATATAATATAATTGCTCTGATATATCAACTCTTCTGGCTTCGAGCATATGGTAGCAATGCGCATTCGTGAACTTGGAGAGAATATTAGACAATCTATAGTTAAAAATTTTTAGCGATTGTAAAGCTAGCACAGTTAACGAAATAGTAGATTATATGGAGTAGGGAAAGGAGCTCTCATTTTATGGGTTAGGGCTCGAGATGATTTCTCCCTTTAAACGTCCGCTACTCCATTCATTTATTATATTTGTCTTTTAGTTCATCATAGCCAACAATAAAGATTTTCGCCCATATCGGCATCTGATACAAAGAAATTACAATGTCAATTCTAATTATAATCATTTTCACTTGAAACATCCACTAAACCATGCTGAGCAAATGTCGGAGAAAGGTACGTCTCGATATTTTCTGGATAAATGAGAAGCAGTTGAGGCATTTGTTCCATATTGATAGTTCCTGTGCAACGCCGGTTAGTGAATAAGACAAGTAATATATCATATTCAGTTTTGTAATTTTTTACCGATTCTAATGTCATTTCATACCATCTCTTAATTTCTGGTGTGGAAATAGTAGTTGTTACATCGCGTTCTGAATACTTGATTTGTGAAAAGATCGCTAATTTTTTTCCATTATCGGCAGAATCAAAAATCCAGCGGTGATCACTATTAGCACATCCTCGGTAACAGCGGAAAATTCCTTTGTCGAGTGAGCGGGTCACGTTATCATCACATGTTACCAACTTATCAAAACTTGCAATGTCGCTTGTCCGTTCAAGAAATTTCTTATTCTCAGTAAAGACCTTGAGCTCGTGCAACCGTACTTTGCATTGAAGAAGTGCGTCAGCACCTTTTGCTCCACGAAATACATCAGATAATCGCCAGTTCTTATTCGTTTGCTTGATAAGATCTTCATTCTTCTTATTTATTTCATTGTTGATTTGCAATTTTTTGCGAAAATCACCTTCATTTTGCAAGTCTGATTGGAGCGACTGAATTTTAAATTTAG